CTTAAACTATTATAATGCAGCATTATACAAAAAGAGCTGGTGGAAAGAAGTAAAGAAAGAAAGAAAGAGAGAATGAAGCATCAAGAAGAATGATGTCTATTAGAAAATTTAAAATTTCATAATGTTCCACTTTTACATCTCGCATATAAGCTTGCAGAGATTTTTCCCAGTTGGTGAGGTTACTTTTGCTATAATTTCTTGATATTTATGTTCAAATTAATTTTTGAAGTTTTGTATTCCTTTGAAATTTAAATTTTTGAAAGCCATTAATTTTCGAATTTTTAAAAGCTGTTAATTAAGAATTTTTAAAAGCTGTTTAAATTTTGAATTTTTGGAAACCGTTAAATTCAAATCATTCAAAACCAACTTCGAGTCAGTCTGACATCTTACCATACTATAGGTAATTTAATTATTCTCATCAAAATCCTACAAAAAAAAACCTTATCAAAATTTTAAGATTCTAATGATAAATCGTCACAAATAATGACGATAACAAAAAAATGTCTTGTGATTCGTAAATAAACCTTTTCGAGGCTGTTTCAATGTCGTTTCTTATCGCTTAATTTGTTCATTCGATGGGTTACACTTTTTCTCGTTAAGGTGGTTCAATTCTACTTTCTAGACGTTTCTAGAATATTATTTGAGCCGAATTGAAATTTTATAAATTAATTTGAGGAGATCCTAGTCTATGGTGACGTTATAACGTTTAAGACTTAACAATTACTTAATAATTATCGGCCTTTTTCACTAAAGTGGATTATCCTCGATTTCGGATTATCCACTTCAGTTTTTTGGAAATATCTCTAGACGCTTAAAGTTATTAAGAGATCTAATGTGCGATATAATTAGAGTACTTTGCTACTTAAGTTAACATTTACTTAGAATTTTTATATCTTCTTTGGTTTGAGAATTATAGCAAGAATCGAAGTTAATCTACTAGATTTGGCTAGAAAATTGAATAATTAATACTTCTTAAGGAAAAGAAAAAGTTTAAAGTATACAAAAATTTCAGGCATACTTCACTCTATTATAATCCAAAATTAGAAATACTACACCTTCTATAAAGTTTAAGATATTTACAAAAATCTGAAGTGGATAATCCGAAATCGAGGATAATCCACTTTAGTGAAACAGGCCGTATAAGATTAACTATTTATAGTCACACGATAAGTTCTTCTATTAAAAATTATGTCACTTAATTCATGAGTTTTTTTTTTTTTGATAAGGTTATGTCATTTGTAAGCTGTAGACATGGGGAAATAATTTCAGAAAAATGTGGTAGTCATCAGCGAATTAGCAATTGTCAGATGACGTTTTTAAGGATTTTTCATCTAATTATGTTAAAATTTGTGGGAGATAATTAAAGAATGTATGAAAAATTTGAATTAGAGGGGATTTTGTGGTTTTTTTGAGGTTTTGAATACTGTGTTAAAAAATGCGAGGGGATTTATACTCAGCTTGACAGAGCTAGATTATCTCAGAGTATTACACTATTCATTCTCATACATAAAGGTTCAAAAAACCCAGAATTACTCTAAATCTCATAATACATTCGAAATTAAATTCTACAATTTTCCAATTACATGAATCTGGAAGCAGACTGAGACTGTCACACAAAATATTTATTTCAATTTGAAATGTATTAAAAGTGACACACAAAAAGCTGCCTCAACAAATTTAATCTTAAATTTCTCACTGTGATTGAAATTTTCACATCGTGAGCTAAATGCTGCATATTGGAAATCTTAAAGTGAAAGTAGGTACAAAAGAAGAAAGAGAGAAAAAAAATGAAGTTAATTACAAAATCAAGTCGAACACAAAGAAGCGGTAAAGAGACGAAATAATAAAAAAAAAGATTCTTCTTCTTCGTCTTTTTTATTTCACATAAAGCAGTGAGTATGATTTAGTATGTACATTAAATACAATTGCAATGCCCTTGATATTGAAATATCACGTTCAATGTAGACTCGACATGACAAAAGATGCCGAGTAATGTTTATTAAATTTCTAGTCGTGTCCTTAAAAAAAATGTTTTATTTTTCTTGTTCATGACACTTCGTCAGCAGTTTAAAATTGTGCAAACTATGTCAAATTGATAACGATATTTATTTAATTAAGGGGTCAATCGTAAGTGATGTTTTTTTGGCGGGAAAAACCCTTCTTATTAAGGATCATTTTACACCCTATCTAGTCATTAGATTGTATGATTTTGAGAGCAGCTACTTAAGTAGCGTTAGGTTTTCCTTTGGGTATAGCAAGCGAATAGTCATAGTGAAGCTAAGGAGCACTTCATTTATGTTCCTGGATTACCTCCTTCCCTCAAGATATTTTAATCACCGTCATTTATGAACATCCCCAACTTAATTCGCGTTTGTGATTCAATATTAAATTTGAACTCATTCCTGAATTGCCGAGAAAAAAGGTCTGAGTCATCAGATTTAAAGAATCATAAGACAAAATATCAAAAAAATGTGCCTGTTGAGTAATAATGTGAATTTATTTTATAAACCTAACGGTCAGCAGAAAGCAACAAAAACGAAGAGAGAAGATGAGAAAAAAATATTTTTTTTTTGTTCATTGACCATGCAGAGTGATCTCATTGTGACTGTAAGGAAAGGAAAATGATCATCGTGGATGTGTTTAAAACAAGAATATGAGAAAAAAATTATTGAAAAATATTTCGTCACAGAAATGAAACAAAAAAAATTCGTCGCAATTAATTTATTGACAAAATAAGAGCTCAATTTCATTGGAAAAAAGTTTGTTTTCGTGAATAGTTATAAACATGCTTGTTAGACGTAACTTTGATGAAATAATACATTCTTCCTGTGCACGATACGCACATTATCGACTCACTTGACCTTCAAAGATTGTTAAAATTGCGAACGGAAGGTCTTTTGGGGAAATAATTAATTGATAAAGAGATTGTAAAGTTACATGAGTGATGTTTTGGTTGAATAAGGCGCTTATTTAGGGCCTTTATACATAGTTTTACACCCTTTTGAATTAATTACTCACCCTTTATATTACGTTTCACACGCCTTGAACTTAATTTCTCAACACTTATAATCAGTTTCGTACCTCTGTAACTTAGATTGTTTAGTTTTACACCCTTCATTAGTATTTGTCCACCCTTTAACTATTTGATTAAAATTTTGAACAATTTTAAACGAGCTTCCATATGTTTCATAGTTTCACACCCCTTAAAAATCCTCTCACAGTCAAACTGAACAAATTTCACACAACAACACAAAAAAAGCATTTGCATTGACAAAATGTTATCGGCAAAGACACAAAAGAATGTGTAAATAAAGTTCTCATTGTACACGTTGTACGTAAGGTCCAATGGATATTATGAAACATACACAAATATTATATTTAAGGAAATGACGTAACAAGAAGACAACGTGTCTTACATGGAAACATGAGACAAAAACAAATTATTTGTTGCCATCTTATCATCGTCATCATAATAGGAACGAAATTCATTGGTTGAGTACTCACGAGGCATCGACATAGGACCCGAATAGACAATTAACGATTGCACAAGAGTCCCGGTTTTGCGTAATCATTTGCTTATGATTAAAAACATTATCAATGAAAGCTCGCTTTGAGCACGCGGATAACTTTATTCAGCTGTCAACAATCTAGAATGAGTTTCACGTGGATTTGTCATTTGTCACATGGATAAAACATTCGGATATTTACGCAAATGAGAAACTCATTGCAAATGTGTATAAAATTTCATGTGATTTATAATTTTTAATAATTGTCGATACACAATTGGTTAAAATGTTGTGTCCCTTTTGGGGTTAATTCATTAGTGACGTTTTTTAGAAAATAGTATTTTCTTTCCCCTGATTCCTACCCCTGATTCCTACTCCTGATTTCTACTACTTTTCTGATCCTGATTTTTAAAAAATATGTTTACTCCTGATATCCTTTTGCAATAACCCCAGTAATTAGAAGTTAATTGTTTAAAGTGACAACACCAGACTTACCTCTCTCATCCTAACTTTAGAACATCCCATTAATGACCCCTTTTTCAATTCCTTATCAAATGAGTCCAATTAATTAAAATCAGTCGGTATTGTATGGGAAATATTGTGAAATCTTTGATAATAATTAAGTTTTTCGTACAACACATATTTGTGTATATAGAGCCATGAGCTAACGTAATTCCACTTATATGTATATTCAATAGAATTTTCTATAGAGTACCGCGGATATTTTTTTTTTCTTTCAATGAACCTGATTTTTTGTTGTTACTCTTTTTTGCGCCGTTTTTTTTTTCGTGTATTGTATTGTATGCCATAGTCTGGCTCTTCTTATTATTACCTCTGTTTCCATTCCATTCATATAAACGCTCGTATTTCTCTTTCGGAAGGAGCTTTCGTGTGAGAAAAATGTTCACTACACAAATGAAATTGGTGCAACGTAATAGCTTAGCTGTGTGTAGACCGATGAGACTACAATTCACAACTACATGCTCAAATCTGCTTTCGTATGATTCTTTTTTTGTGAGAGAAGTAAAACTTTATTTTTCATTCCCGACTGACTACGGCTGACGAAGAAAAATAAAACCACATTGTTATTTTGCACGCCGAAGTGATAGCACGTAGTTTTGTGAGACTTGTCGGTATAAAGAACCTTATTTTTTATTGATATAAAAAAAATGTTAAATTAAAAAAACATTTTTAAAAACGAAAATTTTAAAAAAGTGAAAAAGTGAATTTTGACAATTTCAAAAAAATTAAAACATAGCAACCCGAAAGTGGATTTTTAAAAAAGACCAAAAAAAAGTATAGTAAATAGAAAACAGAAGATTTCTGTACGGAAGTGAAAATTACATCAGTTTATGACTTAATCATACAAGGTGACTAATCAAAAATACCCTGAAAAAATTATCAGTGAAACAATTTTTTTTTTGTCATTTCCAAGAAAAATAAAAATTTTAAAAAGTATTTTAGAGTGAAAGAAAGTTTTGCGCTCTACAAAATAAGATTCGTGGAAAAAATTTTTTTTACTTTTTGTTTATAAATATTACTCAGCACATTTTCTTGCTTAAGAAACACGAGGAAAAAATTATACGTCATAGAAAAAGCTGAAAAATTTCTGTGTTATTGACTTGAACTTTAAAAAAATACAAAAATATTATATCTGAACTAGCCAACGACGCAAATTCCGGATTACAAAAAATTTTAGAGAGCAACATATTACAATGTAAGTACAAAATAGCTTTTCTATTTATAAGATCATATAAAAAAATAAGGAAAATTTCTCATCGACAAGGTCGCTTAAAATTATCCACTTATCTCTTCCATATAAGATGATCAAATGCTGATTCCGTTAGCTTAAATATTTTAAAAAAATAATTCAAAAAAGATTTCAAGTTTTAACCGTTATTAATTTTTCCAAAAACATAACTGCTTTTCAAAATATTATTGTCTGTTAAAATTCAAATATTTTTTCCGTTAATATTCAAAAATTTTGTCACCGTTATTTCAATACTAAACTTTACTTTAAAGTCTTGCCGGTCCATGACGGACCTCAAGCTACTCTAGTAATCCACAAGAGTGTAAAATATTCAAGCACAGCTGACACGAATCTCTTTCACGTCAAAAAAAAAGAGAAAAAAATTCCAAATTGACCTCGAAAAAAATGCATTAACTGTAAAAAAATTTCATTTCCAAACGTGCAACGGCAATAATGCATGTAAATGTATAGAAAAAAATGTCCAAAACATTCCGAAAGCCAGGCGAAACACGAAAAAGTTGTAAATAGAGAAAAGTAAGGCGCGAGAAATAAATAAAAAAAAATGCACTTAATGCTATGCACGATTAGCTTGTGACAGAGACCTCTAAAACCGTTTAGATTCTCAATTTCCTATGTATGAAAATGACTCTCGATCTCATAACAGATGAATTAATATTATTAAGTGCACTTTGTTTCCTCACTTGCGACACTTCCTCGTGTGTATTTTTCTCAATGATATAGAAAATATACATTTCTACTGTTTACATTGTCATGCGGGACAGAGAAAGAGAGAGAAATTTTGCAGCATGACGAGATTGTTTTGCTTATTAGCTTAATTGAGGCTGTGGAATTGAAATTTTTAGTATTTTTGTTTGAGGTTGTGAATTTCTTCCTATTGGATGTTACTGGATCTTGAATTTTGAGGGAATTATGTGCGTATGACTTGATATTTTGGTTGCAGACTGTCTAAATGATGATTGCTATCCAGAATAATTTATTAAAATTCTAAATTTCAAAGAGAAAATCTCAAAATTTCAAATTAGTTCCTAAATTCAGCTACATAATCATTCTAAAATTCCACTTGAAGTGGATTTACCCAGAAAGAAGAAGATCCAGCATTGTATCATAGTTATTTATACTACATTCCTTCATAATGCTCAGTATTACACAATTTTTGGAAATTCTCATCGTCAGAACATTTCAAAGGCTTACGAAATTCTTGCGATTCTTTATAAAATGACTCATAATCACCCAAAAGAATCTCCATTAGTCAACCAACAGCCTAATTAACCAGAAAATCCATACCCATACCTCACATCATGTCGATTCCATTATTATTCCATAATCATAATTACACAACAATGTAAAAGTCCATCACATTCCATCTATTGCTACAAAGTGCAAACTCTATCCGAACGATAACATCGAACTTTGCGGCAATTATTGTTTGTAATGTATTACCGCTCTCGCGCGTCCATGGACGAGTCCTTTGACTCATCAAAAACGATTGCATTCGTGTGTATAGCTTTATGTATATTTATACATTTACACAAAGTATAACGTGTGGTGCCTTTGACTTCAGCTGGCAATTTGAATGGCAGAACAGAAGAAGAAAAACAGAGCAATATAAAATAAAAATTAAAGCAGAATGAAGAAATTGAAGAAAAAAAAAGTATGGCGAAGGCATGAGAAAAATGAAGAATGAGAAATTAAAGAACTTTGTATATATAAAATTCGCAAGTCCTTGAATTCGTTCAACGGCTCTCTGACTCTTCTGACTCTCTTATATCGTCGCGACTCGATGATATTTTTTTAAAAAGTTCTTTTTCTTTTGCTCGCTCCAAGAATGAAAAACTGAATTTTTCTTTTTTGTTGAATCTCTTCATTCTTGCTACGGCTTTACTGACAATGATGATGATGATGTACACATTTAGACTCTCATTGAGGCACATCAGTCAGTAAACACATGGAAGAATTTCTTTTCTCTCGCGCATTAATGAAAAATAAAAAGAAAAATTTTTACATATGGGAATATTGTATGAAGTGCGAAGATGTAGGTCAATAATTTTTTGGTCAAAGACTTTTATATTCAATTTTCATATTTTTCGCATATGGATGATAAGTTTTAGCGGTGTTTTGGAAAAGGGTCATTTTTGGAGGAATTTTTAAGTCATCGCTTTAATTTCTTTATTAAAAATGAGTCTTCGTTTTATTTAAAATTACCAAATTCAAATTTTTGTCACCCGTTAAATTTTAAAATTTCGAAAACCGTTAAATTTCAAATTTTAGAAAACGTTAAATCATCAAAATTCTCAAATTCACTTAAAAATGCGCTCTTTCCACAAATAATTCTCCAACTTGCAACATTTATTTATATTTGTATCTGTTCAACCCTCACTTGTGCTATTTGCTTATGGTAAATATTTAATGTTATCTTCTCAAGCAGCTAAGTAGAGCGTGAAGTAAACTATTTTTTATGTAATTGACTGTTGACTGTGAAATGTCCCTAGAAGGAATTCAGCACAGAAAATTATTGCATAAGGCTGACGACAATACACAATTTAAGTTTTTGTGATATTAAAATATTTTTTATTGCTTCATGATTTCCCTTGCAGATATTGGAATCAATAAAAATGGAAAAAAAATTAAAAGCTCACGTGGAGCTTAATGTTGAAATATTTTTAGACTTTTGTACTTTTCATGAAATGAATTTATTTATAGAATTGCTTTATTTTCTTTAGCAGATTACGAAATGATCATTGAGAAAAAAAATTGATAAGTAATTATAAGGAGCATGCATGTTGTTTATTAATAATTTCTAATGTCAGAAGAACACGCTTAACTGCCTGAATGACTATTTATAGAAGTTATTGAGAACTACTTTAATATTCATTATCAGAGAATAGAGAACAACTGTCGATTAAGTAATAAGGGATTATTGTAGCTTGAAAATATTAGAAGGAAGTGAGTTGAGCAACATTAAATTAAGTCGCCGCTTTAAATTATATGTCACTGCTTCATTAATTGTTAAAAGTAAATTTTCTTCAAATTTAAATCAAAGTATCGCCTTAAAAATTAACAAAAATGAGTTATTGCTTCATTTATTACAAATAACCGTCAAATTCAAATATTCAAAAACCGTTAAATATTCAAACTCGTCAAATAGTACCATAAAGACAAAAAAAACACAAATTTCTCTGTCAATAAAAAATAAACCGCAATGATTACATAAAAATACACCAATCCAACGACATCACACAGTCCATCAATGTGTGACTTTTTCAAAAAATTGTAATTTGATCAGAGGAAGCTCATGTAGAAGTTTCTTATAACATCATGTTCTTCTCATACACACATTTGTGAGCTCACCTTAATTTTAATGTCACCTATTCATCCATTTTGCTATGAAAACATTCTGCCTTAATGATTAACGGTAAAAAATAGAGAAATAGTTCTATCGCCTTTTGTTTTAGATTCGCTCATTTCCATATAAAGAATGTCTTAATTGGCAAAATGTTGTAGAGAGTGCTAAAAAGTAAGGTAAATAGAGATTGAAATGAGATAAATTTTGAGGTTTATATTCAGTCATAAAAAAGAGAACATTTTAATTAAGAATATTGGAGTTGCAACTGTGAACCTAATATTTATTATGTCTAGAAATTATCCGTCTACAATAATTTTTCATCTGAATAAATACAGTCGAGTAGACTGATGCGTACAGATAGTCAAGTACTCGTAGTAATAACTGTCAATCAAATTTCATTGCTACTACTTGTTCCTTATTAATGTTTCAAGAATGAATGAACAAATTTGAGTGTGATTGAAGGTTAATGATGAAGGTTTGAAGGATATGATCTTTTTGGGGAGGTTTGGAGGTGTGATCAGGAAGGGATAGGGTAGAATGGGCTAGTATGAGGTTGAATGGAATGCATTATAATGAATCGAGCAGAAATAAATTGAGGAGCATGAGAAATTACTGTTGATAACTATAAAGGACTTGATCGTAGCTTCAAAAACTCTTTATTAATCTACAATTAATGAGTCACAATCGTCCATTACTTTCAAAACTACAAAATGACAACCATACGATACCTTTGGTCATTAAAAATCACTGATAACCTTACTTATAACCCGGCAAAAAATTACAAAAAACTTTTTCATGACTCACAACTCTCGAAAAAAAATCTTTTGACCGTAAATTTCTCTGTATCACTAGCCGCTGACTTACTTTTTTTGAAATTAAAAAAATCATTATTTTCACGGAAGAGATTATTCAAAAATAAGCAGAAATGATGAGTAATTTGAGAAAATAGTTTCATCATCAAAATAACTTTTATTTGAGTGATCTGGATGTTATGGGATGTTGTGCATATAACTGACAGACACTGAAAGCACCTGTACCGTGAATTTGAGGTTTTTAAATCTATTGGATGTTGATTTTGGGAGATTTTATGATTTGGAGTTCTGAAAAAATTCAAGCTGACACTCCAGTAATCAATAAAGCCTTCATACGATACGTAACAATCGTATGACATTGGCATTAAGTATAAATATTGATGACGATTAATCTTACTGATAAAAGAATCTCAAGATCCAACGAAGGACTTCTAAGCTGCAATAAAACCATTTTCCTGTTGATTCATAAAAATGTTCCACATTTATTTGTTCTTAGAACCATTCACAGGTCAAGACAACAGTGAAGACAAAAATATCTTTTCACCGTAATTACTTGCCACATGTCCTTAATTTTATATCCACACGAATGTTTCTCCTTCATGAATATTACTCAATATCGTTACTCGTACTTTGTAACCTCCCACACTCGTCCACGTGAAAAGGATTGAAAAAATAATAATAATAAAGTACGAATCACGAATTATTAATAAACTCCACGAGCAAGTCATTAAAATGAAAGGAAAAGAATTTTTAACGTGTTTATTATTGAATATTTTCTTTTGTTGTTGTTT